TATTCTAAATACCACCTTTTTAAACGGTAACTGTAACGGAATACAGTTACTCATATTTTGTATTTTAAATACGTAACGGCGGTACATGTATTCTGTTACTCCCCAACACTGCTACTGGACTACATTTGGATCAGCAGCCATTGTCAACTCCAGAAACTCAGTCACACCACCAGGATCGACTGTCTCGGTCACAGCTGCTGTAAATATTTCAGATAGGAGAGGCTCCATTCTCCGACCATAAACTACACCTGTGACAAAATATCATCATTTCTTTTTGTTCTAATCTTTTTCCTTGAGAAATACTCAATTTTTTAACTTTAGGCACAAATGAAATGCTTGGACTGAGCTCCAACATCATCACTATCCTGCTGTTTTGCATACTAACGACTCCCTGTAACATCAAATACATATAATCTGAAAATACTGGCCTTTAAAAAAAGGCACTACAGGGTTTTTTTTCACAGTCAGGTTAATATCCATGTGAAGTTGTGATTGCAGTTGGTGGAAACACAGCATGACTGATATACTTTTTACTGGTCCCAGCATAAGGAGCCATCAGTTGGGTTGGCCATGATGTCATCAGTGTTTTCTCCAGAACAAACAAACATACTCTGTGTGAGATTGGTAGTTTGTCTCTTTATTTTTATTCTGAATTATAAAGAGAACAAAGTCTGAACTATGACGAAACAATCCTCGTCCAAAACCAGTACGTGCACATATTTGTCCACAAAGTCAGCCACTGACGGTGTCGTCTCATTGTTCTTTCCGTCTTATACAATTAGACCTAATGGTTCGGCCATATTCAAGATGGTGTTCCCAGCAGCGCTTCCTTCCTGCTGCTCATCAGTTTAACTCAGCCGGTGTCTTCCTGCACTGCCTTTCCTAGCATGTGGAATTATGTCAATACAGCATGTGTGAGCTTTGTGGAGTATTGTCGATTAGATCAGTCACACAACACATGTCAGAGATCCTACTTCTGCTAACAATATGCTTAAATCTGTGTGTGTCTCTCTCCAGTGGAGCTAAAGGAGCATCTGCAGAACTTTGTGGACGAGACCAATGCTCAGCACGGCCCGGGGTTCATCAAGGTGGTCCGCCATGATAAGCAGGAAGGACTGATCAGGTCCAGAGTGAGCGGCTGGAGGGCAGCTTCTGCCCCTGTTGTCGCTTTGTTCGACGCACACGTGGAGTTCAACACTGGATGGTGAGCAGCTTTTTTCCACTTAAAGCAAGCTCCGTGCAGCTGCTGGCTCACACTGGCAGCGAGTGTCGTTTTAAGGACATTTGCAGCCAAAGACATTGTGAGGTCCACAAAGAACAGGATTGTCTCAGCATATAGCACAGGGCCGATGCTAATGGCATATAAATAACAATAATAACTTTTCAGAATCTCCTCTAAAGAATGGGATCATGCAGGCGCATTTGCAACAGCAGATTTGCACCAATTCAGCTGAAAATAGTTCCCAACAAATGGACAGCTTACTCCTGCTTTCAAAAATCCACAATGGCTACAAGCTGAAGAAAACAATACGAGGCTTGAAAAATAGGATTTGAAAAATAAAGCCACTGAGAAAGGTGGGGGACTGCACTCCCTTGATTTGTAGCTTTACTGCAGAAATAAACACGTTCACAGGTTTTATGTCTCCACAGCTAATTTAACCCTTCATAACAGTGTAAACTGGTGTAAACCACAAGTGTATTACAAGCCCAGCCACCCACCATCATGAACCCTGTTCATTTCAGGTGTTGTCAGGATGGTGTACAAAAGGGTGGCACCTGAAGCTGGAGAAAGAACCCGACACCACCACTGCAGGCCCCGCTAACACCTATAAAGCCTCAACACTGCACCTAAGTCATAATGAGACTCAAATGACTTCTCTTAAAATGCTAATAGGTCCACTCATCGCTTTAATCACACTCTCAGTCCTGATATATGGTGCATGGAGAAACTGAAGGCTGAAGATCCTCCTTTTGATAACAACGTTTAAATTTAGAACACCGGACCACACAACACTGGGGAAGTCGATCGAAAAGTACTGTAGCAAAATGTAAATTATTATTGCCTTCAGTAACATATGACCAGCTACTCCATGCTTTGCTTCCACAGTGTGTTAGTTAGTGGTGCTGCAGGCTTAAAGCAATAAATCGAGAGGTTTGTCTCTCTGATAGAATTCACAAAGGTAACACGTTTTACGTAGTTTCTTACTCTATCAAAGAAGCCCACTGTGAAGCGGAGACATCTTATAATGTGTCATCGACGGAGGAAAACAGGATTAACCTCTGAGCCCTGGATTTCTCCATGAATTTCTTTAAAATTTAATGTGAAACATCAGAGAAAAAGAAATCACAGCTTCCCCACAGAAGTCACAGATATGGCACTGCTTGATTCTCTCCACCTGATCTTCATCCAACATGTCCATTAGACCCTCTCCCTACAAGTCTCAGCATTAAATAATGCTTTGATTTTAAATATCATTGTTATGCCTTTTGGTCAAAAGTCAGTAGTTAGTGCATAGTCTGATTAAGTTACATAAGCAAAGTGATAAATAAGTTCAAAGTTAAGAAATATTATAAGTAATTCATGCTAAAAACAGTTAAAATGTCTGGGTCGAAGTTTGCTCAGAGTGAGACAACGTTATCACAAGCGATCTTTGTATTGTATGTGCGGAAATGGGAGCGAGGGAGCGCTCGGATCATTCGCATATCTTTGAAGTGTTTTCTCCGTTAATGCGCGAAAAGTGCTTCGGCAGTATTAAAAGAGTGAACGAGTTCATATACACGTTAAAAGTGGCCTACACGCTTGTACCTTGGGAAACGTTCGTCTTTGTGAGTATTAATATGTTCAGAAGTAACTTTTATGTGTTTACCCCGAGTTAACTGCGATGCTAATGTAACGCACGTGTTAAGCTAGGCTAATCTTTAAGTTTGTCATTAAGATGTGTATTAGCTAGCAATTTATTTTCACTTTCTGTATATTTCAGTTACAAATAAGAAATAGCAAGGAGAAGCCTTGAGAGAGGATAAGGCTTTAAAGGATCTTCATTAAAAGCAAGAAAAGCAAGCCTTGTGTGGAAGATCTCATCTATTTTGTTCGCTAGCTGTCTAGCTTCACATGGTCACGTGTCGTGAGGGCAGCATAATCATCAACTTATCTCTGTTAAGATTATTACAGACCACAGGCTTTTAACCTGTACCTGTGAGGAACTCCTTAACACACAGATGAAGCAAATATCCCAGACTGCTTTCTTTCATGTCGGATCATTAGTTAGAGTTGTCTCTGTAACATCGTAGAGTCTTTACTTTGTAATGTAAAGCACCTCGAGGCAACTCTTACTGTGAATTGGTGCTATATAAAAACAATTAAACTGCACTGATTGCACCAGTGTAAACTAAAGAGAATATTATAGGTAATGCCCAGAAAGGAGGCATCTTTTCCCTTATTTATTACAGCAGCGGTTGAAGAATTTCAGCACACAATGGAAGAAATAATCTATTTATAAGCTGATTCATGACGGGATCGCTGCGTTCCTCCGTCGCTTTGACTACTATAACAAACTTGTGGTGCTGTAACCCATTTTCTCACATATTCATCAGTCAGGCAGGTGCAAAGCTTCAGTTCCAGAGAGCCACAGAGGCTCTGACATATTTATTTGAATTTTAGGCCACAGAGTTAATCGTGTGAAAGGCTGGCAGTGAGGTGATTTAATTCCAAACACCCGGGTGGATAAAAGAGATGAAGTGGTTGATTCTGCTAAATAAAGGGGTGCTTAATTAAACCTGCAGCGCTCTGGTTACGCACTTTGTCTTTGCTCCGATCAACAAAGAAACACATCTGCAGTGACTACATCACAGAATCACTTAATCCAAGTAGAAATAAGAATCTGCTCAGTGAAACCTGAACTCAATTCTGCTGCGTGAATGTGCCAGAAAAGAAAATAAATAAAGTTTGATTTTTAGCATTTCATACTTTCTTCTTGTAGGCTTTAATAAAAGGTCATTGTGAAAGGAATAATCCTCATCTGACATTAAACCAAGACACCTTAAAAGGAATTATAACAACAACCACAAAGGCGTCTGAGGTGGTGGCTCGTCTGCGTGCTCATTCTTGGAAACGTGTTTTTTCCCGACAGTGTCGAAGGAAACAAATATTTGCCACAATCATCTTCGTGATGAAAAGGAGAGATCGGTATTTGCATTGTGAAATCTGATTTGTCACATCCCTTCAAAGGAGCTCTGAGTCTGAATGCATGTGCAGCTTTTTACGCCTCAGTCTGAAGGCTGACGGGGGGGTTGTTGTCACGGAGAGTGGGCGGGCATCTGTGAACACAATGACGCGAGAAAAAAGGCAACCTAGGATTGTTGAAATGGTACCGCACCGACGTTTTGCACCTTACTGTCAAGGTCAGACGTCACGTTTACTGAATGCAGGTTACTTTGTGACAGTTTAGAAACATAAAATCCTTTAACTTGTAGGCAGCGTTTGTTGTTTACACTGAAACACGATCTGACCGGCGACATCGAGTGCTGAGACATCTCCGTTCAGTCATTTCAGTTTGAACCCGAGGGTAACAACGTTACAGACATTACTCAAACTGTACATCAAAGAGAAGACCATCACATGAGAGAGTGATTTGTGTGTGTGTGTGTGTGTGTGTGTGGAGGAGGGGTCTAATTGGCTTATAGACTGCTGAGCTGAGTGACCCGACACTCCTCTGTGATCAGGAAGCTCAGGATGTGACAACTGTTTGGCTTTCAGGGCTACATTACTCGTAACATTCCTTCTTTCATGATTCTTAAAGTGATTAAACTCGCTATCTAAGGACATTAAGACTTGTTGAGGGTCAGAATTGCTGGCATAGCATTGGGTTTTAGTCGTTGCTAATATCCAGCAGTATTCGTGAGCTCGGTTTGCCATCTTAGCACATCAAATTCAATTCAATTCAATTCAATTTTATTTATAAAGCGCCAAATCACAACAAAAGTCGCCTCAAGGCGCTTCATAGATACAGAGAAAAACCCAACAATCATATGACCCCCTATGAGCAGCACTTTGGCAACA